GAGCAGATGTGGCAATGACCAGATGGACGAAGTTTAACTGTATATGTTATGGATAACATATACACTAATGCCATTTTTGTAGATCCTCCAGAACAGGGTTTCCAGTTCTTGGGTACCATGCCACAATAGCCTGCCTTGTCTAATATATGGAGTGGCTTGCCTTTTTGCTTTACTGCATCTCCTATAGTTGTGTGAACGAATGGTCTGTACATCAGTCCTTTAGCAAAACAGGGAATCATTGCTTGCAAATAACTCCTCAGTAATGTCAAATAACATGTTTGCAATTATTTTTACACAAGATTGAGAACTTTATTTAACCTTTAATTAACTACTCCATAACCTGGCTCAGTGGGGTAAAATCATTCTAGATTGATCGAGTGACATTTATATATAATTTGATCAAAGGGCACAGAAGAACATCAGGAGGAACAAAAGACCCATGAGAAATAAATCCCACAGGTCCTCCTCAAAAATGTTATCACATCCATCTTTTTGTTCCCATTGTTCAGTCCAGCTGCTTAGAATTGTGGGTCAGAATTCTGAAAATGACCTCTAAGAAATCCTCAATACTTTCAGTTTCTCTCTTTCCAAATTTTTCTCATTAAAACACAACCCCCTCACTTGCTCAGAGACTGTCTTCACCTGTTTGGACTGTCATATCAAAAGACTGAAACCAGGTAGTTTATGAGCCACAGGAATTTATTTCTTAAGGTTTTAGATGCTATGAGGTCCGAGGTCTAAGATCAAGGTACTGGAAGTTTTGGTGTCTGTTGAAAATGTGTTTACCGGTTCCTAGACAGTGTTTTTCTGTCCTCTCATAGTGGAAGGAATGAGGGAACTCTGAGGTCCCCTTCACAACTGTACTAACCTCATTTATGAGTTCTCTAGAACCTAGTAATTTCTCCAAACCTTGCCTCCTAATATGGGGTCTTTAGGGACAATGACTCAGTATCTGAAGCTTAAGGAGACACAGATATGCAGAACACAGGAAAACCATTAGTGAGTGTCACAGTCGAGAGAATATATGCTGGGATTGTCTCCCTGGGTCATCCCACACTCCTGTGCAAGCTTTGCACTGTCTTCCTACATTTCATCTCTTCTCTTTTTTCCTTGTGTTTCATGGAGGTCATATTGAATGCTCACTTAATTCTCCTAAGTACTAGTAGCTTAGTTACTTTTTTATTGCTGTGATAAAATCGCCATGACCAAGACAACTTATATAGAAAGAAGCCCTTAATTGGGCTTATGGTTCCAGAAGGTTTGACTTAATGATGGCAAAGCAAAGCAGTGACACCAGGAACTGCACACAGGAAGCAGAGAGAGCTCACTCACGGCCTGCCCCCAGGGATGCACCTATTCCAACAAGGCCACACCTCCTCATCCTTCCCAGTGAGTTTTACTAACTGGGAACCAAGCGTTTAAAGACATGAGCCCATGGGGGGGGGGCATTCTCATTCAAACCACCACAACTCAGAATGTCTTAGTAAGAGACCAGCTATTACTTCATGGTTTTATAAAAAATTTAAACTTGCTGGTAATTCTCTGTCAAATACAATTATATTTATACAACCTCTATGTATATCATCATTGATAGATGGGTAGATAGAGTGTCCAACAGATTCAGTGAACTGCCTTTATATGTATGTATCTCAACATGTGCATTTCTGTGTCTATAGCTAACATTATTTCCATATCTGTGCATTTATATTAATTGACCATATACAACAGACAATGAAAATTCTGGAATGACTCATCTATCACTTTGACTTCTTGCAGTTTGGATATTTCATTCTTTTCCCAAGAGAACAATTGCAAGCACTTGTGTTTTCTCCTGCTGCTGATAGGCCAGTTTCCCATACTTGTTCTCCACACCCTGTGCCCATGTGGTGGCTTTAACTTCCAGAGAGATAAATAGTCCTCATTTCTGACGCTGGCCACATCTGTGTTTTTTAGACTCTGGCCCCTTCAGTTCTCATTGTATACCTGTTTTTCTTATTTTTATTCACGGATGTTCTCTAAAGCCCTGTCTGAAGTCTATAGTAATACCGAAAGCTGTCTGATGCCAGCTGCTGTAATAAGCATCCCCTGTGGTCTCACGTGCTGGTGACTGCACTTGTGGAGCCTTGGCTGCTGCTGCTCTCTCCTTGCCATTCCCACTGTAGAGAGAAGCACTATGACGTGACGTGCACCAGCACAGACGTGGCTGTTTGATGTCAGGAGACTTCTTCCCAGCCCCGTGCATGGCAAGAGCTCTTTCTCTTCTTGGTAATTAGGATTAGCTACAGTAGCAAATTTCCCTTTCACCTCTGTCTCAATTCAAAGAGCATAAGTGGCCCAGGAAGGATATGCCTCCCTGAGCTTCACCATGTCCTGCTTTCTTCTGTGAGGTTACAGTGGTATAGGGCATTAATGTGCCCTTTACTTCAGATGATGTGTCCTTTCAGGCCCCAACCTTGGGCCTCTAAAACCTTCTATAATGCACGGGACTCTGAACCTTTGTAGCATTAGTCTCATCTAATGGTTTTCTATGTATTTTCCATCTCTTGTTAATCTGTTTTCAATACCATGGTGTCATTAATAAAGTAGAACCAGCACATGATCTGTGGATTGGATAAATGGCCTCTATGCCTTTGGACGACATTGTAACTGAAGGAGAAACAATAAAGGTGGTAACTGGATGTTGCCACCTACCCAACATGAGCAATCTCTTCCTCCGCTTCCTTTCCTATAGGGAAGGAAAAGAACCCATGTGCATGAGTACTGGAGAGATGGTTAAGAACACTTACTGAGGATCAAGGTTTGGTTCTCAGCATTAACCACCTATACTCAGGGATCCAATGACCTCTTCTGACCCTCTCCAGCTCTTGCAGGCATATGCTACACATACATACACTCAGGCACACACACATACACATAAAATAAACAAATAAAAGTTTAAGATGAACCTATATGCTGAGACATTGGGATGGCAGAAGTGGGTGGATTGGTTTGATTTTACAGATTGTTATTTGCTTTCTAGAGTCACCTTTAAACACACCTGTCAGGCTTATTATCTTCAGGAAACTTATACATATCCTAACTGTCTCACCAGTGTTTGCTGGTGATAATAGCAGGTTAGCAGCCTAAGGCTTGGACTACCGTAACATTGCCACAATCATAGCTAAGAACATCTCTCTCATTGCCTTTCTGTGCAGATGAAGGTAAAACATAGCTGCTACATCATATTCAGTGTATATACATATGTATGGAGTAGGTCAAGTCAGAGATAAGAAAGCACTATATATTATAGTGGTCAGAAGGAAAGCTGTTGGAAGGAAAAGAGTTGAAAGTTCAAAGCAGTTAACTAAGGCCCTGGAAGTAGGAATCAAACCCTGAAGGGGGCTGCAGTGTGTTCATCATGACACTCAGACGCACCCATTCAAGGGACTCTTGCTCAGAGAAAGCAGGCTGTGGTGTTAACACAGCAGGGGATGTTTTTCCACTTTCTGTGTTAGGTGCCACTTTGAAATAAGTGAGATAACAGAATTATCTAAACCTTGTAGTTGTTAAGAAATTATCTGCTATAATGCTAATATTTAATCTTGGCTTTTCTAGGGAAAGGGCTTTAAAAAAAAGATTTCGTGACTGCTAAGAAAAAGATTCCGTGACTGCTAAGAACCAGGTGTGAACGAACATGTTTGTATTCTATCCTTGCCTAGGCAAAAGACTTTTCTAAACTGACGGCAAGGCAATTTCACTATTAAATTGGGAAGGATCTCAAATTAATATCATCAATTTGTCTCCTTCTTCACATAAGCACATGTGGATTATTTGCCAGCAAAACGATATGACTCTTCGGGAGATTTATTTTCTTATAAACTTTAAAACTATATTCGTTGCTTCTGTATGGGTGTGTTAGAATATCATGACCAAGAACAATGTAAGGATGATAGAGTTTATTTTTGGCTTATGGTTTCATAGGATTAGAGTACATCATACTGGGAAAGGCATGGTAGGGAAACAGGTGCAGAAAGCTGGATAATCACATTTTCGTCTATTCCTTAGGAAGGGTAAGATAGAGACCATGATGTGAGTGGAAGCTATATGTCCTCAAAGCCCACCTGCGGTGACAGATTTCCCCCAGCAAGGTTCCGCCTCCTAAAGGTTCTGTAGACCCCGCCCCCAAACAGTGCCACCAAGCGGGAACCAAGTGTTCAGATACATGAGCCTATGGGGGGGGGGGCATTTTTCATTCCAGTCACTACATAAGGTAATCCAAAACATCTCAGGATTTGTATATATTAATTTATTACAAATCTTATAACCATAACTTCAGAAATTGAATGTTTTCATAAGATGAAGGTTATAGAACAGACAAAATTCTTGTAATAGAAAAATCCAACTGGCCAATCTCTTGCTTCTAAATTCCATTTGTTTATTTGTTTGTTTGTTCATTCGCTGGGGTAATGGGGTTGGCTGTTGAGCATAGCTCCTTTGGTGCAATGGTCATTTTCCTTTTGACTTTGGTAAGCTATGACTTTACATATTTTTATAATTAAATTCAAAAGATGATATACAAGCTTACAAAGTCCGCTTCTGTGGGAACATAGTGTAATGTAAAGGCAGTATTCATTGCAAGGAGGGTACAGTGGATAAGGAGGAAGAACATATCTGTGCTATGTGGTCAGAGTATAGTCAGGGGTAGGTCAGTGGAAGTAGATACTAATGGTATCTACTCTATGAGTGTGGCGAGTGATCAGGGCTGACATAGCAAAAGATGATATAAGTCTCAGGTGTAAACACCTGATTGATAAACCTACTGACTTTAAATATAAATCAGCACAATTAATGTTCTATACAGCTCATGGAGTGCCTTCCGTGTTTAAGATATGGCCTTACAACAGATGAGTTCAAGGTTAGACAGCCCTAGTATTGGCACAGAGCATGCGCAAAGTAACCCACTATTACAGAATTCTCTCCACCCAGGAGGTCCCATATAAACTGCTTCTTTGTCTGTGCAGGAGCCCCGTCCTGGTCTTCCAGTGTAACCACCGCCACGTGATCTGCTTGGACTGCTTCCACCTGTACTGTGTCACAAGACTCAACGATCGGCAGTTTGTCCAGGATGCTGAGCTTGGCTACTCCCTGCCGTGTGTGGGTAAGACAGCCTTTTAGTCTTTCCTGTCTCTTGAAATTAATTAATAGCAGAAGAACTGCTGATGTAAACGGTTTGAGATATGCCTAACCCTGGTTCAAGAGCTGAAGGTTTAAACGTGTCGTTGTCTAGTAAGAAACTGGAGACACAAGCTCCTGGGAACTGTATCACACTAGAATATGGGTGCTTAGCTTGAAGGCGTTGAAAATAAACTCAAATACTCTTCATTCGAGATAAACGTCTGTGAGTTTGGCTGACAATTTCAGGATTTATTACTGTGAGTATGGAGCAGTTGCATCTAGATGTTCCAGTAGGACAGCCTTTCACCGGTGGATTTGATTTTGAGTACCTCCTCATGTGCTTCTTGTCTAAACATCCATTACAATGTCTGCTCTGTCCTTTGTCGATTTTTAAAGTGGGCTACTTGTCACTTTGTTGTTGATCTGTAGGTTTCTGAGTGGGAGGGATGGCCCAGTGGTAAGGGTGCTGGCTGCCTAAGCCTGATGACTTGAGTCCCATCCCAGAACCCATAATGGTAGGAGAGGACCTTCAAGTTGTCCTCTGACCTGTACACCCTCAGCCATGACACACACATGCACACACGAACATACACAATAATAGTAAATAAAAATTTAAGAAATTATATATATATATTAGATTTTATGATCTAACTATTTCTAATATTTATCCCCTCTATAATTGGTCTGTTTACCAATGATTTTGACAAGGTCTAATTTATTGACATCTTTTGTTATTTTGGTGTTAAATGTTACTCATCGTCATATCTGAGCTTCTGTGATATCCTTGGATAGCTACCTCTTACAGTAGTCACTGATGCGTTTTGAGTTATTTCTGTGTATTCAGCGTGGTTTGTGTCCCCGATTCACTACCAATATGACTGCAACGAGATTGAACGTGCCCTGATGACTTGAGTGTTGTCACTAGACATGTAGACGCTCTGTGACACTTGAGTCTGTGCTTGAGATTGAGCTTTGGTTTCTTTCTCTTCTTATCCTTAGTTAGAATCACAGCAAACACGTCTATGCCTCTAAATGACACAGATCCAAACAGAAGAGGCTAATTGCAGTGTTGACTCTGTGAGTCACGCTGTTCATTCTTTTTATTTTTATCTTCCAATAAAGAGATGCTTTATCATGGTTTACATATAAGTGTGTAAATACATGGATTAAAACTCACTGAAACATACCATGTTTTCATATTTTTAACAATGACATCAAAACCCAGAGAACCGTTTGTGGATTTCTAATTTTATATATTTGGGGTACACACAGTACACAGGTGCCATGGTGTCCATGTGGAAGTCGGAGGACAAAGTGAAGGGGTGACTTCTCTCCCTCCACCATGTGGGTTGCAGGGATTTCAAGTGCTTTCACGGATGGAGTTACCTACTGAGCCCAGTATCATTACTGAAGTAATTTGTTATTGGTAAATCATTCTCATCACTAAATCACAGACTGTAGAAATATTTCTAAGTACCCGTATTAAGACCTTTTTCATACTCCAGATATATTTAGAGATTTGTTCAATTTTGTATATTTCTTAAATACCAGCTTTTAATTGTAGAAAAGTTTGGAACCAAACAAAAGTAAAGAACCAAATTATAGCGGGCCCCATGGACCTTCTACAGGTGCAGTACAGCAGGGTGCTGTGTTCTTAGGATTCTCGAACAGTGGCAGGATTGGCCATCTCTCTGTCAGCTCTTGTTCCCACCACTGGGAACTGTGTTTGGAGGACAGAGTTTGAGCACTTACCTGGAGTGCTCCTTCCCTGGGTTTCTTCTTATCTCAGCCAAGCTGAGAAGAAAAAAAAAAAAAAAAAGGCTAAAGCGTCACTGAACCGCATTCTGTACGTATACTCTATTTCCCCTTATTGTCAAATGCTTGGTTTTCTTTCCTTTTTGTTACAAATATTGCTGTGACTGACTAATGTGGGCATAGGTTTTCCTACTGCTATCAGAATATCCCTGAAATAAATTATTTGTACAAGGGGTTACTGTGTCAAAGGGTCAGAGGTAAAATAAGTGTCTATTTCACTGTTCCCTGTTTTCCTCCCAGAAGCTGCAGATAGGCTCTCTGCCACCTCCCCTGAGGGGCTGGAGAAGCTGAGGAAGTTTTCTAATCATGTAGGTCAGAGCTTCCTCACTCTTCCTCTTTGGTCTAGTTTCAACCTTTTCATGTGTCTAAGATCTTCATTTCTTTTTTATTTGTAAACTGAGAGGTGGGTTAAATGAATGTGTCCCCTGAGGTGTTTTCGACATAGCATGATGCTCATGGCCCCATAGTATCACCGCAGGCCTGCAAAGTTAGATCACTGCTATTTTTATAAGACTGCATTTAGATTAGCCTCAGTGTCGCTGATATTTTCACAGATACTGAAGAACCACACTGAGGAAAGCTCTGCCTGGCCATGCTACTGCACTGAGCTGTGTTCTGTAGGCTCTGGCTGTGTTCTAAATGCTTGTTTGATGATTACCTACCTTCATTTTTAACTAAGTGTGTTAACATTTCCTGTTGCTATGTCAAAATACTTGATAATAGCAATTTAGGGGGGAAATGATTTATTTATTTTGTTTGGCTCACATTTTGAGGGGACAGTCCATCACAGTAAGAAGGCATGGAGGCAATACTTTGAGACAAGTGTTCACCTTACATCAGCAATCAGGAAGCAGAGTGGTGAAGGGTAATGCTTAGCTTTCCCCTTTGTACTGAGTCCAGGTCTCCAAAGCATGGAATGGGTCCTCACACCTTAGTCAAACCTTTCTGTAAACATCATCATCGACACACCTAGTGACTCTTTGTTTCCATGGTGATTGTAGATGCAGTCAAGTAGGTGGTGAAGATTAATGATCACAGGTAGTATGGTTTCTGTCGCACGGGAAGCTAATGTGGCTGAGACTTCAACGTGGGTATCTAGTGCCACAGTCTACCTGTGCTGCCACCGCTCCAATGACTAGCTTCTTGCTAGTGCCAGTTGGCAAACCCAGATGTGCACCAGATGCGCATTTCAGTCACGTGGGTCTTTATAGCTTCCCACGCCCTGGCCACACTTGAGTGCAAGTAATTGATGGGCTCTCAGGAAAGGCACCAGCATTTAGTATATGGTAGGCAATAGGAATGTGGAGGGGAGGCCATGGCAACCATGAGTATAAAGGTTTCTGCTCAGTCTTTAATACACTAGCCAGCACAGGCTAGTAAATGTCACTGGAGTTAAAAAAATGAGATTGTCAAACACAGGCAAAACAGCCTGTTTCTAGACCATGAGACAGACTTGTACATAAAAATGGAGGCTTTCAGGGAAAGTGCATAGTGCCTCTGAAGTATCTTCTGTCTTTCTGCTGTACCGTAGGTTATTAACATTGCATGCTGGGAACTACTTTGAAATGTCAATAGACCCTCTCAATATACTCTCAAAGATGGGCACTCACTGAGGTGGTGGAGCTTCAGAATCTGGGATGATGTGTTTCAGAACTCACGTGATGAAGACTGTGAGTGGCACGTGCATGACTCATCTGTTCTGAGCCCAGACAACATGGGTTTCTCGTGCTCCTGGGGTTCCATTGGAATGGCATCCATCTTCCCCATGGCATGCCCTGGACATCACCATGATTAACAAGTGTATTTCAGTTGGTGTTGCTATCTTGTTATAGTTTATCTTCTGCTTTCCTGGTCCCTGGTCACTTTGCATATAATTTGTGTGCTCAGACTTTTCGTCACAATGACAAATTACCCAAGAAAAGCAACTTCAGGGAGGAAGGATTTATTTCTCTCTATGTTTCAGAAATTCAGTCCTGTAAGAAATGAATCCTCCAGCCAGTTCTCAGTCTGAGGTGTGCTCGGTGTTTTCTTTTAATCTAGAAGCATGAAGTAATAAAAAGGGGGAATAGTCTACCTTCTATGACTAAAGCTACCCCCAAAACTCAGTGGCGTGGCATGGCCAAAGTTCCCTTTTACTCTGCCACGTGGGTTGCTGTGGGGCCTCTACTCTATAGTATTACTCAGAGACCCACTGCTGATTTCTGCTATCTCTTGGTTCATCCTCAAATGCCTACTGAGTCATGGGGCAGTTGGCATAGGAGTACTGCCATGGGCAGGGGCCTGCCATGGACTCCAGCACTTCTTCTCATGTTTCTTACAGAACAATTCAGACCCACAGGTGCAAATAGCCCACAGTGTGCACTGAGGCCTGGAGAGGTGGGTTGAGAGCTGGAGTCCAGTGTGTGCCCAGGAGGAAGCACAAATAGGCAAGCAGAGCAGCCTCCGCAGGGGTGCAGAGTCTGGCTGACAGCACAGTTTATCACGTGGTTTTTCTGCACTCCTCTGCCTGCCTGTGAGACACAACACTCCATCAAGTCACTTCATTATAAGGAACGACTGCTACACAGACAGGGACCAGAAAAAGAGATGTAGGGCAAAAGTGATATTGCCCCGGGGCTCATTCAGCTAGACCAACGAGGGCCTGTCTGTCTGGCCATCCATCTGGCCCTGCAATTGCTGTCTTTATAGAAATCCTACCTTAGAGGTTCCAGCCGTATTTTGTGGTCATTTGAGGCATGAACCTGTCTTTCATGAGTCACAAAGGCTTGAAGTCTCCGCGCCTCCGTGAAGCTGGCTAAGGCTCAATTTTGCTTAGACATCTGTGTTCCAAACTCCCTTTTTTTTTTTTTTTTTTGTTCATTTTTCCTACTCTTTCATGTCTCAAGTGGCTAAAAACAGACACCTTTTTTGTTGTTTGTTTTGCTTTTGTGACAGAATCTCTCTACACAGCCCTGGCTCTTGTGGAACTCACCATGTTGTCCAGGTTGGCCTTGAACTCAGAGATCCACCTGCCTCTACTTCTGGAGTGCTGGAATTAAAGGCATGCACCACTGTACCTGGCTAAAAATAAGCACCCTTAAAGAGACTATTCTGCTTGGTTACTTGAGAGTAACAGTGAAACATTTTCTAGAGATAAATCCATTACTTATCCGAAGAGATCTGGGCAGA